CTCCTGCGGGCATCCACGTGAATGGTGTACTAAGGTGCGCAAAGCGAGAGACAAGGTTGTCCAGGCTCGTCCCCTGCACTAAACATCCATCCGAAAGCCATGCGAAGCACCCTTGAACAGTGTTGACAGGCAGTCAGGACATGTGAGCCGAAGATCGCGCCCAAACCTACGTACCTACTTCTAAGGCTCTAAGGTACGACCCCTGTGCCCGTGTACGGGGCTTCAACCTGGTGGTTTGGGGAACGGGCGAGCGCAGGCAGCGAAGGAAGCCGGCAAGTGGGCCAGGCTGGGCTCGGTTGGGCTCTCTTTTGTACTGAGCTCTCTTTGTGTCTTACGACTCTTTAACTCTTTAGCGCTCTCTTGAAGTCTTTGGCCTGTTGTCTTCTTGTTTAATCGAAGAGCGGACCCTGCCGGACTGAACTTTCTGGTGTTGTTGATCCTTTCTTCCTTTTTTGGTCTCGTTTGTTGTTCTTGTGTCAGCTTCACCATCGAGCGTCTTTCAGTCTTTTCGTGTCAATCCCTTCAAAACTTTATAAGCTTTATGTGGCCCTGAGGAAGAGATGCTTAGAGGTTTAGAGGAGGTTTTGAGTTTAGAGCTTCGGTTTGGCAGTTTCTTGGAGCCGTTGGGCCGTTGGGGAAAGCTTCCGTTGGGGCCCCAAGAGATGCGAAGAGGCTTCCTCAAATGAGGGGGCCGTCTGCTCAACAGTCAAAGGCCTACGGAGGTGGTCTCCATGTGTAAGGCCTTCGGAAGCATTACGAAGCGTGAAGAATTAATTGCTCACGAGGAAGAAGCGTGAGAAGGGCTCAGATGCGTACAAAGAGAGCCCCTTCAAACCGTTTTGACGTAGGCTTCTCCAAACGCCTCTAGGTGCTTGTATGGTTTTTCGCGGTCAGCGAGAGACTTCAATTGTCAATGTCAGTAGGCGTTAAGTGGTTGTAAGAGAGATGTTAGGTGGGGGGTTGATACGTTTGAGATTGGTCAGAAGCCTGAAAAGACCCCCAGACCTTGTACAAGATGCTTGTGTTCTGCGTAGCTTGGGCTACTGCAGCTTTGATGAAAGTTTCTATTTCGGGGTTTAGGAGTTAGGCTCCAGGGACGGGCAAGCCATCGATAAGCGGAGGCGGCTTTTTCCAAAGTACCTGGGAGCTCCAGATGAGGAGGCCTTCTGAAGGGTTAGAGGTCCTGGCTTCAGTGAAGAGTCTGTCGTGCAGCTCATGATGCAGAGGCCTCGCTGCAATGCAACCTCTTCAATCAATGAGTAGTCCATGCCTTTTCAATGTCCTCACCTCGTCGATTTGATCCAACACCAGCCAGCGCAGCCTGTCCTTGAACTGTTCGAGGACATTGCCCCCGACAGCAGCAATCCGCTCTTTGCAAGCGATGTGGCAAAGGCCTTTCGTGAGTTCCACGTTCAAGGGCTTTGCTCATGTAGCTTTGGGAGCTTCCATGGCAGCTCGAAACTTTGTGGGTTTCCCGGGCAGTGCCTTTGCTTATTTCTGGGCCAAGAGTTGTGGTGTGGTTCAGGGCATTTCAGGGGGCTTATCCGGCTCGCATTTTGACCGAACTGCAAAACCCTCTGACGCTGTGCGTGGCGCCTCGTCGCCCCCCTCGGCCTGGGCTGGGCGGAGGTGTTCGGTGTTGGCGTCACTTTTTGGGCGCCTTAGGGACCCCGCAGAGATTGGCCCCAAATCTACGTCGTTGATCACATGGCGTAGCAAGAGCAAGCCCAGATCTCTTTAACTTGTACGCTTTTGTTGGCGAGACTGTGGACCTCGCCCAAGCTTTGGCTGCCATGAGAGCCTGCGAAACTTTTGTAGTCCTAGTCCTGCGCAACTCTGCGCCTGTGTAGCAGTGTAACAGCCACCTGTCTTTGTTAGGGGATGTGCGTGGTCCGGGTGGTCCCCCCTCGAGTCCGTTGACTGTCCCAGGGCCCTACTTGCAGGGTCCGCATGCAAGACTTGGTGAGTGCTGCGCAACTGCGCCCTGTCCTACCTGTCCTATTGGAACCTCTGACGCCACACGGCTTGGTCAATCCTTGCATATCATGACTGTCCCCGTCGGAAGCATCCTGCGTGACCTTGCTGCATGATTGCAGCATCTTGCAGCAAGAGGCAGCACTATGACACGAGATGGCTCTGTAGCTTGTGGAGAGCAGGGCAGCTGCAACTTGCAGACGTTGGACGGCTGCAGCTTCAAGGACAGCTTCGAGGGCTTACATTGTAGGTTCTTACACACTGTGCATCGTGGTGCCGATGTCGTGGACGAAGGAGCAGTTCTTCATTGAGAAGCAACGCAATGCTTCTGCAGAGAAGCGACAATCTGTGCCTTGGCGATTTGGCCGTGTGGCGTGATGCACGTATATCCTTTCCGCTCAGCTTCCCCTCCCATCCCCCGGTCAACCCTTTTTGGAGGGTTCTCGAGCCTTTAGCGCAAGCAAATGACACACGGTGTGGTAACATGTGGTAACGGCTGCTGTCTTGCGGATGTCTGTGTTGACTTGAGTCCTGTGACTGCGGCAAAAGTGGCTTTGCGTTGTTAGCCGCTCGACGCTTTGATTGAGTTTTTGTCATCGTATTGTAGATCTTTGGGGAAAAATTTGTACAAGCCGCTTCAAACCACTTCGACCCTCCATCGCGACCGTCTGTGCTGCGCTTTTCGAGTTCGGGTTCACTTTTTTCGGCTTTAGGACCAGCACTTTACTTTGAAGTTGGAGGCATGCGCCACCAACGGAGGTCACAAAAAGAGCAAAACATCTCTCGGGCTTTCAGGATCTCAGACACATGGGACACAAGTCTTTGTTGGGAAAGTTTCGTGTAGCCAGGGAACTTCGTAGTATCCTAGTATCCACCGAGACAGGCTGGTGTCTTTGCTTCTGGCTTTCACAATTGCGGGTCAGCCCAGTCCCGCATCCCGTAGAGCCGCCAGAAGCGCACTGCTAGAGATGCACTCTATCTCGGAGGGAGGGCCCTGTGAGTCCTGTCCTGTCGAAAGGAGCTGCAGCGGCTCTCACGGCTGCGCCGCAGCGGCACATCAGTAGGTAAAGTGATTCATTTATGAGCCAGGGGATGTGCCATAGCATGTTATAGTGGCGGCTCCGATGCACGGACTGCAGCTACACGCATGCAGAGTGCAGAACAGTGGCAGGGCCAGCTCTGGAGCCCAAGCGGAACTGTTTTCAACATTGGAGACAGTTGCAAAGCACTCGTGTCTCTCGGCCAAGGCAAGATGTCGTGATGAAGCCAGACCAGAAAAGTTGGCTGATGCAGCCTGGCAAGTATTGTAACCAGAAGGTTGCCTTCCTCGGGGGTTTCCATCTCCCGAGGACGCGGGTTGAGATCCTGCGGCAGCTTGTAGCCAACGATGCCTGAGGCGGGGATTCGCTACTGTTGCATGGAGACGTGATCTCTTGGGGCGCCATGCGAATTCTGTGCAGGTATGGACATCCTCCATGCGTGGCATTTGGTCTTTCGTCCCAGGCCTTACGCAACAATCATAGCGTCACAGGCTTGTCTTGCAGCATTCGCTGCGTCCAATTTCAGCCAGATCTGGGAACATGGGTTGAGGTGCTGGAGTGAAGCTTCCACATCCCAGTGTTGAAGCCTATCCTGACGAACTGTTCTGTGTTGGCAGGCCTTAGTGCTGCTACCGCAGCTCTGGACCGGCGCCCTGATCATGTGACGACGTGTCAGAAGGGATCCGATATTTGGGCATGGTCTCCTCTAGACTCTGCGTAGCCCATTCCGTGATGGTGCGGCTGTCAAAGACGGAGGCTAGCACCACACTGAAGCATGTGGAGGCCTTCCCAACACCGCTGCAAACCGTAGATGAGTTAGAGATGATTTGAAGGTGTTTGGGCATGGGCCTTTGCAAGGTAGGGAATCTAGGGGCTCTAGGGATTCAGATGCATCCCGAGCGAAAAGAGCGTGATTGAGAACTGCAGGTCGTGAAGTGCCCTGTTTGCACCTCTGGACACCTCACCTTATGTATAGTTTGCAGAGTCCTTCGATGCCTCCGCTTCTCTGCTGAATGCAGAATTTTCTCTGTCGACTTGCACGGTTTCCCTGCAATCCAGTCCTGAGATGCGCTGCGCCATCCCCCGGCCTCACGATGCCTCTTACAGCTGTTGGGACAGCTCTCGGGGGTTTTTGAGCTGACGCCGTTGACGCCATTGAAGCGATGGGCGAGAGAGTCCCGTGACAAGTGCCTCCAACCTGGTGTCACCCAGGTCTCGTGAGCAAAAACTGCCCACGTCATCTCATGGGAACGATGCTGGGCCTCGCCCTGAGCCTTAAGGGTTGGGTAGTGTTTGTATTCTTCGGGAGGGTTGCCCCCTGCCGGCTTCGTGATAGGACCGGGTAGGGTCGACTGGTAATTTAGACTTGAAGTGAGGAGGCAACGATCGAATCACGATGGAGCTGGCGAGTCTATCCACATTCGCAGAACCACAATTTTTCTGCCCAGCTTGCAAACTGACCCGCTTTCAGCTGTCTTGGCTGCACAGCTTAGCAACTCTTTTTATCGAGACCGGTCTTTGATTTGAGTATGCAGAATCCAGGGCCCTGCCTCCATCTGCCCTGTTTCCATCTGCCTCCATTGAGGCCTCAAAAACGCCTTGGACGGCATGGCGGGCACGGCTGCGCCGGCCGTCGCTCGGCGAGAAACTTTTTCAATCTGTCTAGGCTGTATTTGGTCTTGCCTGGTGCCGTCACAGGCCCACAGGCACCGAACCCGTGGGGCATTCCAGATCTGGAACTTGTTGGGCATAGGGTCCGACATAGGCTGGCTCGAACAGCCCGAGCTTAACGTCCAACCTTGTGTAATGGCAGTTTGCATCAAGAAGATAATGGTGATGGAAATGCCGAAATACCTGTGACAAGCGGTGGTGCGCCGGACTAAGATACTCGAAGCACCTGAGCACTCAGGTGGGCGGGATGCTCTACTACATTGGCAGGTGGGAAGGGGCTACAGATGTCAAGTTGTCAAGGGCTGCAGGGCGGGGGGAAGGTAAAGCCTTTTGTCCCCAAGATTCCGACTAAGGGTTTCTTGCGTGGGAAGACATCATGCTTGAGTCCCTGAAAATCCGATGGAATTCCTGGCCCAAGTTGCCTTTGCAGGCCGCTGCCCTACTCTGCGGCGGCGTTCTTCGCCTTCGCCATGGCCGGTTTCTACATTTCCCTGCCACCCTCCGTCCTGGCCCCGGCCCAGCGTTGACACTTTTTGCCGAACACAGCAGCTGTACTGCATTTTGCTGCGTTTTGCTGCGTTTTACTGCGGAAAGGGATCTTCAGAGTCAGGACCTCGCGCTATGACAACTGTGATAAACTCATGTTGTCCGTGGAGGTGTTCAGGGCAAACGTTGGCCTTGTCGTTTGGCGGACCGGTACAAGGAAGCATTATAAACGGCATCGCTTGTGTGAGGTCAGCAAGCAGGACATGCCAGTGCCTCAGAGGTCAAACATGGTTAGATCATGAGGGAACAAGAAGCTTCTGGATGGGCAGAGCCTATGGGCCTATGGCTTCCAAAGAGTTTGTGGGTCTCTTGCCGACTCCTGCAGACTGAGCCAATTGTAGGCGTCGTAGGCCTCAGAAAGTCCATTGAGGTCTGAGGAGCTGAAGCCGCTGATCACGCCCAAAGTCAAGGCGCGCCGGCGTTGGAGAAGCACCATGGCCCCGTTGCGCCAGCAGGTGACGCTTCACTTTAGGCTTTTGAGCTAGCGTGAGCCCCCCAAAGATTCCCACGAGCTGCTGGTAGAGTGATGCGAAACTTGCGTGCCTCAGACCACGACCTCCTGAAGGAATCTCCGGATTCCTGCTTAAGATCTTTCGCTGCAGGCTGATACAGAAGCGGAAGTGAAAGCTCCACTGCATCACGTGCAGTCATCCGCTCTGCCGCTGTCGGTTTATGTGAGGGCCCAGGAGGGTTGGACGAACGCAAGAATGCAAGCCCGAGCTGTGTTCGGAGCAAGACCTCATAGCTCAGCTCCGAGGCGGGAAAGCGCTACTCGTCGCAGTGCCTGCTGAATCAACTCAGGCCCCCTGAGCGTTGCAGTTCGTCGTCGCGCGGTTTTTGTGGGGATGGGTTCAGGAGTTTCCGCACGAAAGCATAGCAGGGCAGCGAGCATGATTCGGGATTCGGATAAACGTTCGGTTCGCACGAAAGACCTCCCTGACCACAGCTTGGTCATGGACCCTGAGCTGCGGGAGCTCTACAACATCACCGTGGACCGGATCGGGAAGGCTCGCGGGGGGGGGGGGGGGGAGGGGGGCGTTCAAGGAGAGGCTCTTCGGGATCAAGCCAAGCCTGCTGAAGGTCAAAGGTTGCAGGGCTGCAGCCCTATAGGGCCTTAAGGGCCCTAGACTCTCGGACATCTCTAGACTACATTGACATGTGTGCCTGAGATCTCGGATCTGGTTCGAACACCGGAATTGTGCAGCAGGATGGCCAAGAGTCTAAGACAAAGTGCTCTACGTGTTTAAACGGCCCTTGACAAGGGTCAACAGTGGTCATATGCTAGCGCTCAAGATAGCTGCGGATTTCCGCCGGCAATGTGAGGCTCTGCAGAAAGCCCTCACACCCAGAACGTCCCTTAGAAGCCTTAGCCAGGGCCCAGTATTAATCTCCAGGAACGCGGCACAGTCCAGGGCGCCAGCGGCATCCGTTCAGTGGCCACGGTGTCCAGCGGGCTGAATCGTGCCGCCGGGACTGCAGAGGTTTTTTGTCCAGGCGCTTTATCACGAGCCAGACCCAACAAGACACTAAACCACACCTTGGGTAGAATGTCCCCAATTGATTCATGGCAGGTTGGGGCATTGTTGGAAGGTAAACCGGGTAACCGTGCGCCTTGAAGCCTGGAAGGCAGCACGTGTGGACTACACGGGTTTTAAAGTCTCATAAGCTGCTTTGTAAACGTACACTCGCATGTTTCGGGCCAAGCTATTTGCTGCACCCGATTCCCAAGTGAAGCCAACATGCAACGGACCTTCCCGGTCATCTCAGGCTCGATCACAGGTGGTTGTGAACAGAAGCCTCGACGAGGCCGTCTGAGTTGCCTCGCGAGATGTGGAAGTCTCGTGCGCGTGGTGCAGCAAACCGGAGAATCGGCACAAAAAGGCACAGAAAGGCGCCAGTAAGACTTGCGGATCGCAGGTGCGGCCGCACAGCGTCGACTGCGCGCCGGCTCCTCATGGCCGGGTCGTGTTAAAGTCCGCCGGCATGGTACGAAAGACTGCGAAAGGTTCTGGGTGGCGATGTATCGAAGTCGCCGTTTCATCTGTTTGCTTGTATCTGACCTTATCAACAGAACTGAACAGCACATTGGACATTGGACCAAGGCCAGCGATGAGTGCACCAGACGATGAAGACTCGCCAGATGACTCGGCGGCGTGACGCAAAGAAAAGATCGCATTGTGGCTTGCCATGGTCAAGCTACCTTCAAAGCATTCTAAAGTTTTCGAAGGTTAAACGCCTTCTTCCATTTGGAGGGCTCATTACCAGGCTGCAAAAGCGGCGCTCGGGCTAATGGCCCGATTGTTGAGTACCCACTCGAACTTATTTGTTGAAACACTTTTTAAGCCCTGAAAGGAGAAATTAGTTCGCACAGCGCATGAAGCTTCCATTGCCATTGAGGCATATAAGCGCATGCTCTCGGCGTTGCCTTTAGAGTCTTTCGGTTTTCTCGATTTCTGAAGGGGGCGTCGCTCTGGAGCCTTGGGGCTGTTACGCATGTTTCAAGCCAACGAGACTTGCTTTTGCTTGGGTTTAGGGCATGCAGGTATCCCGCCCCCAGAGGTTTGCGAGATCCATGACTTGTGTCATGCTTTAGCATCAGACAAGGTGCACCCAAAACAAGTATAGCCAAGCCAAAGCTGCTGTTTTCGTGAACATGACCAGGACGGGGGGGAGGGAACTCTGCCAACTTAGACAAGACCCGTGGCCGCCACCCCCCTCCTCCGCAAAAAAAGAGGAAGACCCGCCGTAGTGACCGTAACCCCCCCCAACAAAAACAACAAACGGCCTCTAACTTAAAGACCATTCTCATCACCTAGCCATATTGGTTCCACCCCAAGTTGAGAAGTTACGTAACATAACTTTCGTGATTATCATGAATGGAAGTAAGTGCTATGAATGAAACCACTTCTGCGGGTTAACCGGCCATTTAGGTTCTGTTCTTTCAATATTCCCATTCAAACAGTACAATAGGAAATTGTACGTGGCCTCCAACTATCCGAGTTGTTTACATGTTAACGATGGGAGGGGTTGAGCTTGATCAAAAGTATCTTTTTCCATCATGTCATGCAGCAAGATGCGTGTATACAAGGCAGCATGTGTGGAACACGCGTATTGTCTTTTGTGTTTTAATTTAGTAGTTGATGTTAAGAACGAATGGCCTGCAAGTAGCAGTCTCAAAAGATTTGTATCGAGCTTGCACACTGTTGATCATATTCGTCTCCCAAGTCAAAACGGTAAATTGACCCAATTGGTTTGGTGCAATGAACGGGTTAACCTATTCAACCAATAACTCATTAGCCGTTATACCATGAACCCAAGCAAGGAGCCGATTAATGGGCCTAACCCGTTCGGAGGGCCAAGCTGATATGGTTGCTTCACGGGGTCTTGGGCTGTGGATTGACCGCAAGCTGTGAGTTGTTCAAAGGTGCAAGGGGGAGATACCCAATCTTGAGAGGAGTTGCCCATCTGGTGCTAGAACACTGAGTTTTTTTGCCGCTGTGGCGGCATCCCCGACGCGGCTCTCAAATGGACACCTCAGCTAATCGCAAGGGTTCAGTGCTAAGGCTCAGGCCTGCTGGGGTGCTTAAAGCCCTGATTTTATTGGTTCGGTTTTACACAAGCGGAGCCACTCTCGTCGGACCTTTGCCAAAGCCTTGATGAACGTGCCCAAAGTTGTGCTTGACGCTGTCCAAAGTCACACGCAGAATCCTAGGCAGCCTTGAATTGGAGATTGTGACCCTTCCCCGACCCGTGATAGCACCTGCTGCGGTCTTGGCTCGATTGGAGCGGCTGGTCCAGTATGCTTGAGGCTCGTCCAGCCTCCTGACTCTTCATTGTGTTGCGTCCGCAATACTCTGTAGCATGGGTGCTTACATGATCGCACGCATCTTTCTCTCACGATGAACCATGGGCATGCGTTAGACCAGAATCGTTGCTGCAATGTAGGTGCAGATGCATCTGCGATGAAGAGGCGAAGTACGCTTTGGCCATGCGCTTGCAGATGTGTGCAGTTCGGGTTTAGGGTTCCAACACATGCCAAACACATGCCAATCGGCTCTCTGAGGATTCGTGTGGTTGCAGCCGAATAGACAGCCGCTAACATGGCAGAGGACTAAACTGTGGCTTCCACGGAGCATGGCAGTTGAACTCAGTTGTTGTGTGTGAAAGCCTTGACTCGTCTGGGCATCAAGAGTGCTATTCTTATCGGAAGTGTTCTTGCTTAAATACTAGCTTGAGTGAAAGTCGTGCATACTCAGATCAGAGGTTATTCTTACAAGTAGCCAGTATGGCAAGGCTTGAGAGTCATTCATGCTTTCTTGCTTCACAGCGCATCTATAACAAGTTGACATTCTTGAAGAACAGGCGACAACCAGTCATAGGAAAGCATGCTGGAGCTGGAGGAGTGCTCAGTGGCAGTTGGAGTTCGAATCCGACCCTTCAACGATCGAGAGCGTGCGCTGAACGCGCAGGCTGGAGATTCTTGTTCGGGTTGGGCCGTTCGGGGTCTATAAAAGGTGACACAGCTTGTGCACGACCCTTCAGCATGTTGTTGGCAATGGCTTCTGTTGCTTTTGTTGCTTGTGTGAAATCTGCTTGGCATGCTTTCCGAAGTCCCTAATCCCTATGATACTTGATGCCGAAGCCGAATCCCGAATTTCTCCGAATGCCATTGTACTTGCACTTCAGTGCCTCAGCGAAACCAAACCCAAGTCCTGCAAGTCCTTTCAGCTCAAGAACTGACAGAGCTGTTGCCGATATCGGTATTTGTTAGTGGCTGTTGCTGTCAGCACTGCAGTTTGTGCTGTGAGGCTCAGCGAATGTCCGTACTGCGCACCTCACGATGTTGCTGTTCCCTTTGCTTGTTGCCATCTTGTGCCTTCTAGTAGCACAGCAGGAAGATTGCGACCCATGCCAGTGTAGTCATTTCCTGGACTCAGGGACGTTGTGCGCGTAGCCGCTAGCCAGTTTGCGCTCTCTGCAAGCCACAGCTCGTGCTTCAGCAATCGCACTTGCTGTGCAGCTCTGCGTCGAAGTGGATGGCCCGACCACGATATTGCCGCTTGGGCGGCAGCTACTGCTCCAAGTTGCAATGTGTTGCTCATGAGCTGAGAGACCCAAGTCTTGCTTCTGGAAGGCGATTTGTGCACAGCAAGAATTGGAACAGCCCAAGTCATATCTAGTCCCGAAGCATCCAGTATCGCAAGCAACGGGCCGTCCCTAAACACCAACAAACTTGAATCCAAACTGCAGAGATGCATCTAGGCAGACTCCGCCAGAGCAAGCGGAAGCCGGCAAGAACAAGGCAGGGTTGTCCAGTCTGGTACTGCATCCCTAGGGCGGGGGGGGGGGAAGTTGGAGCTTTTTGCAAGTCTGTACAGGAGCCAAAGAAGTTCACGTTCGACGCTTCCTTCTGGAGTCGCCGCCTGTGCCAGTGGTCGGGCATGTTCGGACCAGGCGCCAGGGGAGGTGCAGCCTCAGGTTTGATCAAGACCCCTGAAGTCCTCAAGGCGCCTAAGCCCATCGAAGCCCTAAACCCCTAAAACCCCAAAGAAACATCAACCTTACCTTGTTACTGAGGTCATGACGGTTTCGAGGTGGATGCCAAGGGCTACTGCTGCCCAGCGCCTGGAAGCCGGTCAGATCCACAGTGCGACGTGTTGCCGAGGTTGCTTTGGGGTTTAGGGATGTTTGGGGTCTGGGGAGTAGGACGTCTCCGAGTCCAGGAGCCGGAAAAGTCCTGGAGGAGGGCTTTGCATGTCACAGGTTTCCTCGTGCCCGTCATGGCCAACAAGCAAGTGCTGTTGAAACACCGCAGTAATTCTCAGGTATCGCCGCAATACTGTAGAAGTACCGTAAAGTAGGTCTGGGTCTGCATCATCTAAAGGCTTCTCCGAAAGAGCTGGCACCTAATTGCGTGTATCTGGTAATTTGCTGGAGCTGCACAGCTCCGCACGGCCCTCCTTGTCGAGGTATGCTGATCAGCAGCTCGTTTTCGATACCTTTGGTCGACGCATTCTGGACAGCGCCTCTCGACAATAAATCGGGCAGAGGTATGCCGCCCCGAAACCCTGTCGAGTTCCGACTAGGATGATGCAATGCATCTAGAGGTGGAAGGGAGTTTTGTATTTCGCTCGCACGAGCTGCGTTTGGTGTGGTTGGCAGTGCTTTGGTGGGGAGTATGTCATGTCACGTTGCTGCTACGGACTGATTCAGTGCTCAGTAAAGAAACTGCCCAATACCTGGAACAGAATTAGGCCTGCTGCCCCCTGCGCGAAAGCTGCCATGATTCCATGAATGCAGTCATATGGCTTTGCATCAAGGGTTTCTCATCGCCATGATGCAAGCCTTGTACTCCAAGTCACAAAGTAAGGCTGGAGACAATCCTCCGAATTACTGGGTAGAGTGCGTCAGATGGTTCAGTCTTTCTTTTCTTGTGGTCTTGCGAATACCTCCCAGGCGTGGGAAGGTTACCACTGCTGTTTGTTTGCCTATGGCCGTTGCCCCAGAGCGAAAGATGAAGTTCGGTGCCTAGGTGCCCCAATGTGCCCCCAAATATCCCCAAATCTGGTTTAAGCTCAGGTGCTGACTTTGTGTCCCAACTTTTGCAGGCCAGACGGGAGCTGGCAAGAGCTACTCCATGGTGGGCTATGGTGCCAACAAGGTGCGGAATCAGGTTTAGAGGTTGTTGATCACAAGTGCTGATGTGCTTGGCTTGCAGACTGATGTTCTGTGCAGGGCATCGTGCCCATTTCGTGTGAAGAGATCTTTAAGAGGATCGGCGCCTGGTCCCAAGAGGGCTCGGTAACATGAGCGAAGACCTCGTTGATGTTGCCTTGAGTTGTGTCGGCCTGTGTCGCCAAATGTTTGGGTAACGTGGGTGCAAAGGTTGGGGGGCTTCGGCATGGTCGTAGGCTGCTAGTGCTGCTAGTTTGCTTCTAGTGAGCTGCTCTTCGAGCATGGCTCGGGCTTGTCGCCCTATGTGCCCACAGGCCAACACAGACGCGAATCTGACCTACGAGGTCATGGTGCAGAGGCCCCAGGAGAGTTGGGTTTAGCTCAGAGGGATGTTCTGAAAGGTTCAGACATGTACAGAAGGTTCTCCACGACTCCGCCACCAGTCCTGGGCTGAGTCACCATCACATTCCAAGGTCGATGGTCGAGATTTACAACGAGCAAGTCCAGGAGAGACCCCCTTCATTCACCCCTTCTTGCGTTTCTTCAGTTCAGAGATCACTTCGCCATCTCCGCTTGTCATAGGGCGTCTGTTGGAAGTTCCTTGCCAGGACCTCCTGGTGCCTCCCCGGGAACGCCCCAAGAAAGGCAGCGGCGGTCTTCCACACCTGGTGACGTTCTGTGGGCATCGTTCGAAAATGCTCGAAACGATTTTTCCTCCTTCGGGCGGCGCTGGCTACACTTTCTGGTCAGAATTTCTACAGGACCCAACTTTGCGGGAAGTTCCGGGTTTGCATCTTCTGGTTGAGGCGTGATTCTTTTTTCCAAAGTCTTGTTTGCTGTCTAAGACACAGCTACACGTGCCAAACCGGAAGCCTCGGACCATGGGTAGGTTTGGAGATCCGCGAGTCGCAGCAGTGCCGGCCCCTGTTGGGCTTGCACAGGTCTAGGTGGGGATGACACAAAGGACAGGATGCTAATGTCAGAAGAGTCCTGAACACGAAGATCCTTGTTGAGTTGAGTTGGTTTTGTTGCCCCGGTGTGTGAGTGGGTTGTGAGTGTTCTGCCTCCGGAGCGTGCATCGTAGAACTCATCACTGGCACTGGGACCTTTTCGTGGGCCCTTCGGCTTGTCACATTTTGTGCTTTCGCTTCCGAAGATCCAGCTCCGGGCGCCACTCGCTGAGGCTGGGCATTTACATCGCGGGTGTGTCGAGAAGAGCGGTGGACTCTTACCCCTCCATCGAGGCGTGGGCCTGCTCGTTGCCTAGTTGCAAGGTGCACTCCATCTCTGGAAGAGGGCGAGACATGCCAGAGTTCCCTCAAAACTCCGAGGCCCCCAAGATCGAAGACCCCACCCCAAATTGGCCCAAAAGCCCAAGACACCGAAAGCTCGGTACAGCTCAGTGCAGCTCAAGAACTGCTCAGCCAGGCAGTGGTGGAAGAGGGCACCGAGAACCGAACAGTCGGTTCTACCCTGCCCCTGCGTCGCAAAAAGTGCGGAGTGAATACTGTGAAGCTCGAGAATCGACGAGCTCCCTGTTTCCCAACCGCTAAACTTCAACGATCTTCAAAGGGAGGGCGTTGGAAAATGTTAGGACTCGGATTTGGGGCAGAAGGGGAGAGCGCTGTCTGGGTGGGTGGGTTTTTTTTTCCGTTGCCTACACACACTGCTGGCCTAGTAAATGCTCAAACTTGAGATGCTGAACCCTAAACCCTAAACCCTAAACCCTAAACCCTAAACCCTAAACCCTAAACCCTAAATCCTAAACCCTAAAGCCTAAACCCTAAACCCTAAACCCTAACACCAAAATGCCTTGTTTACTTAATTGTAAGGGGTTTGTTTGTTGCTACACACTAAACACTGAAGCCCGAAACAAACAGCCTGAACCCTAATCCCTGAACCCTAAACCCTAAACCCTAAACCCCAAACCCTAAATCCTAAACCTCTCTTACCTATATATATATTTAAACCCTATAGTCAGCAAATCGACCGGCCCTGTTGGTCACTGGCCCTGGGGCCAATCCTTAAATCGACCGGCCCTGTTGGGCACTCAAGGGTCTGGCCTTGTCCTGGCCCGCGCGCGCGCGCGGCCTTCGCCTTGGCCTTGGCCCTTCCAAATCGACCGGTCCTCGACCAGTCCTGTTGGGCACTCAAGGGTCTTGGCCTTGTCCTGGCCCGCGCGAGCGGCCTTGGCCTTGGCCTTGGCCCTTCCAAATCGATCGGCCCTATTGGGCACTCAAGGGTCTTGGCCTTGTCCTGGCCCGCGCGCGCGCGGCCTTGGCCTTGGCTTTTTCAAGGTTTTTCAAGGATTTTCAGAATTTTTCAGTGTTTTTTGGTTTTTCAATGTTTTTCAGGGTGTTTCAGGGTTTGCAACCCTCAATTCTGATGAAGGGCCGCCCCCGCGACCTTTTCACAGCCTAGTTTTGGTCAAGGGGGGTCGAATTTTCAATTTTAAAGGCAAAAAATAGTCTTCTGAGACCCCCCCTTGCCTCAAACTCCGACCCCCCTTGAGAGGGAAATTTTACCTCCAGAAACACCCCAAATGAGTGCCACCCAGGATCGGCCCGGTTTTCAAGGTTCTTCAGGGTTTTTCAGAATTTTTCAGTGTTTTTTATGGTTTTTCAATGTTTTTCAGGATATTTCAGGGTTTGTAACCCTCAATTCTGACGAAGGGCCCGCGACCTTTTCACAGCCTAGTTTTGGTCAAGGGGGGGTCGTATTTTTCAATTTTAAAGGCAAAATCGTCTTCTGAGACCCCCCCTTGCCTCAAACTCCGACCCCCCCTTGAGAGGGAAAGTTTGCCTCCAAAAACACCCCAAATGAGGGGGATTCCAGGATCGGCCCGGGTCCCAGTTAACAATGCGATTTTTTAGTACTGAAATCGACGGCTCTGGGTGGTCTCTCGTTTTCTGGATTGTTGACCAAAACCGAGCCTTCACCGGTTTCAGGATTTCAAGTCCCGCCCCTCTATGGGGGCCGATGAAATGGTTCGTGGGTAGGATGGTCCATGACAGAGTGAGGTTGGAGGACAGGGCTTGCTGATGAGAAATGTGAATTTTATATTTTCTTAATGTTTTGGGATTCTCTGGGTGGGTGGGTTTTTTTTTCCATTGCCTACACACACTGCTGGCCTAGTAAATGCTCGAACTTGAGATGCTGAACCCTAAACCCTAAACCCTAAACCTTAAACCCTAAACCCTAAAAAACCCTAAGAAACCCTAAGCCCTAAGCCCTAAACCCTAAAACCTAAACCCTAAACCCTAAACCCTAAACCCTAAACCCTAAACCCAAAACCCAAACCCTAAACCCTAAACCCTAAACCCTAAACCCTAAACCCTAAACCCTAAACCCTAAAGCAAAAAACAAAAAAAACCAAAAAAAAACAAAAAAATCCTAATTTAATTCCCGGCCATCCTGGATCTGTGATCCACCGAGGCAACCGGACCTTCCAACATGCCATGCCCAGCCTGTTGCTTTGGTGCTCTGCCGAGGATGAATGCCACTTCCAGCAGGGCGCGCGCCCTGTTCACGAGCCGGCATAGGGGGGTGCGTGAGGGCAGGGAGGCTTGCAGCCGAGCGGGGACCTTTTCTTGACTTGACTGAACTGTTTGTTGCACTGCTCTGCAGATCTTGGATTCCATGAAGCCGCTGAAACACCCTTTTAACAGCTACCCTAAGCTGAAGCTCAACAAAACCGTCGCGCTTTGAATGGGCGGCAGTCACCTAAGGCCCACACAGTGCTCACCATCGAATTCAAGCAAGTTTCACAGGCCGCCGGTGGGAAGCCAAATAACACCTGTAGAGGCGAGGTGTCATACATGACGGGATTCACATTCGCAATGTCATGTTCTGCCGGGTTCGTTTCTCTCAAAACCATCCGATTTGATGGGTCGCATCCTCTGAAACCCCCTGCGGAACCTGAACAACGGGACGCGTAGGCGGGAATTCAGAATTTGGAGCCAGGACCTGAACCTGTGACCTCACCTTGAATGCTGATTATAGTGTCCCCCCCCGCTCTCCCCCCCCCCCCCGCTCTCCCCCCCCCGCTCTTCCCCCCCGGCCCCTCAACACAAATATGCATCCCGGAGTGGTTTGTGTGGGGGGAGGGGGAAAGGCGTGCTGGCTCATGAGCTCAGAAGTGCAAGTTTTGACTGCCACGTCAGCTGTGAGTCCGGCACCGAAACCTCCCGGAAGCCTGTCGCGAGGCCGCTGGCCAGCAAGGACAGAAACTGTCGCTGATCAATTTGGTGGACCTGGCTGGCAGCGAGAAGGCCGCTTCTGTGTGTTTTCTTTAAATTGTTTGGGGCTTCATGATTGCAAGCGAGCGTGTTCAACGATTTATCGGAAGAGCCTCGTGGAAAGAGTATCGATGAGCCCAGGGGCTCAGAGTCGCTGGTGTGACGTGCCATCCCGAAACATATTAGGTCTAGAATCCTGAATCCGAGGCGGGCTCTAGCAATGTTAGCCTTTGACGGCCTACTTTTGCACAAGCATCCCACAGCCTGAGGCTGGCCAGACTGGCGCCAGTGGGGATCGCCTCAAGGAAGGCTGTGCCATCAACAAGTCGCTGCTACTCGGCTGAATCTTCACTGGGCTCACCATGCCTCAACCTCTGACTTGGAAGGCGGCTGCCGCCCATCTTGGGTGACTGTTGTCCTAGCCAGAACTGCTTCAGGTAGGGTCCATAGAGGTCCTTTCTTCCACAAGCTGTTCTATTAATTCGGCGGGTTCTACTAGAGAGGGAGCCCGATCTGGTTGGCACAAAGAAGCGAGGGAGTGGTTTCCGTGGCCAAGAAGATTCGAAGCACTTTGCTGCGCGGAGCTGTGCTTTCCTTGTCCCGCTGAGCGCGCGCGCGAGACGGCAAGAAGTCCCAAGGAAGGAAGGAGGGCAGGGAGCAGAGTGTGTCAGGGAGCAAGGGTGCCGCCCGGGAGTGTCTCACATCGGGGCTTCAAAGAAAGACCATGAACACTTTGCGCGCGCGCACACACAACTACACAGGCACGCATAATTTTCGCAAACACGCAGGGCCAGAGAGACTCCATTTCGTGTGTTGCTATGCTGTGCGAGATCGGCCCTGGGCAATGTGATCGAGAAGCTTGCAGACAAGGCTGGGCTTGTAGACTGGACGACTGTCAGCAAGCCGCAGAAGGTAGAGAGCCATGGGGAGGCTTACGAAAGAGTGGAGTGCGTGTTGAAGCTTCCGTGACATGACCCTGAGCTTTGGTGCCCTTGACAACGCCCCACTGATCTTTCCTGGATAATCCGGGTCATGCCTGAGCAGCGGAACCACTTGAGCCCGAAGATCCTGAGCCCCTCAAGGCCCTAAAGGCCCTGCCCGAAAGGCTGAAAGGCTCAAATGTTAGGTTCCCCCATTGGGGTGAGTTTCTGAATACAGGCCAAAATCTTTAGAGGGGACTATGTGGCGAGCTGCTCGACTGACCTGATCCTCTGATGTGCAAGGCCATGGGCAAGGCCAAGGCCAATGCGCGAGTCCAAGGTTGCTTCTGCAATTGGCCGTGCCAGGCTTTCCGCCCCGGTCACCCTTTCCTCTTCCGTCATCCGTTAATCTTCACTTTAGTATAGGTAGGCTCTATTTGTTTTCCTAGAATCGTTCGCTCTGAGGCGGTCGTGCCGTACCGTGACTCGAAGCTGACAAGGCTTCTGCAGAATGCCCTCGGCCGCGGTCTCGGCTTTGCCCTGGCGTGCTGAAAAGTGGCACATGCTCAACAAGAGCCATGATCTCAGGTGGTTCAAGCAAGACCGTCATGATCTGTGTCTGCCTCAGAATCAGGGAGAGCTTCATGGTACCGTATGCCAGTTAAGCCGGGCACTGGGCAAAACGCATGACTCTCAGCAGCCGTCATAGCTCAGAGGGTGGTGCAGAGTTCAGGGGGCTCCGCAGTGGATACAGTACGGGAAGAAGCTCCAAGGATGCGAAGCAACAGGAAACGCTGCTTTTGCCAAAGGCGCTCGCCTGAAAAAAAAAAAGGAACAGGCCTGGAGACGGTAGCAAGACTGAATCAAGAGCTCATGGCTATTAAGATCATTCCTCCGCGGGCTGGGTAATTTATGTTCGGCGTTGGATCTTGAACGCTTCGTGGCGCGCATAATGGTGTCATGCTTCAGAGCCAGCATTTCCGCATCGCTCTACATGGTCGTGCATTGACGCTCTGACCGGCTAAGTAGCGCTCCATTCCAGTTGTAGTCAGTGCAACTTCAAACCTTGAATCCTTGTGTTCCAACAATACCAATCAACTTGGAACCCACGCAACTGCGTGGCATCTCCGCTGCGGTGCCCAGAGCACGACAAACTGTGACTTGCCCCACACCCTCCCTAGAGCTTATTAATTTTGTAAACTCAAACCATTGAATTTGAAACAGCGTGCACCCCTGGATTTCGTTGCCACCAGTTCTTGCCCGAGGTGCGATTTCGCCGGCATCGTCTGTCCCTTGGGGTTGCATAGGACGTCTGGCTTTGGGGAGGTTGAGCCCTGCAAGCATGCAGAGGTTTTCGGTCGTCAGATATTTTGGTGACCTTGGCGTATGTGGTGTTTTGCCGTAAGCATCAGGCGCTCAGCGAGTCGCAGTCACGGTGACGGCACAAGAACGGGTCACGGTGCTTTTGCCTGTCAATTTGTTAACTTACAATTCACCATCTCTCAGTCCCTTCACCTAGGTCGAACTACGAGGAGACGCTGTCCACGTTGCGTTACGCCGACCGCGCCCTGAAGATGTTTTGGACACCCGAATGGCTGGACAATTAGTTGTAGGGATGCCTCGAAGTAAGGAGTGTTTACCAGGCGTTCTTTCCTTTCTGTGGTCGGGCTTAGGCTTTATGGCTAGAGTTTATAGGGAATAGGCGCGAGTTGTTTCCGGGAAGCATCGGCAATTCCCAGGTGCCAAGCGCATCAAGAACACAGCGAGCATCAACGAGAACCCTCAGGCGAAATTGGGGGCTTGCAAGCCGTGATGACCCTAAGCCACAGACCCGCCTTCCTCCCCTGCGCCCACCTAAAAAGGGAAGGAGCACACACATCGACCTACATCAAACCCCCCTCAAATCCCAAAGTTTGGAGGACAAGCTCATCCGGCAGTTGCGGGAGGAGAACGAGAAGCTTCGGAACATGGTTGGCAGCGGGCCAGCGCCTCCCAGTTACCCTCGGTTATTCAGAGTTGAGGTTCCGCGGGGGCTTGGCGGCTTCGTGTCAGCTGGTGTCCGCCACTGGCGGCACTGGACGTTTGGGAAAGACGTGGACGTTCAGGATTTAGTGGTAGATCTTGACCCCTGAAAACCAGCCGGCATCCTTCGGATGACCTTCTTGCCAGAAGCACATCGTCCTGTGTGCCAGGTCTCCGAAAGAGGGCGAGACAGAGGCGCATGCGGGGTTTGAACTTATGGTTCTGACCTGTCGGAGATTCTCTAAAGGCTCAAGTGTCGCCGGGCTTTGGATTGGTTCATGCGCTATCAGTGCTATCAGTACTGGTAAGCTGCTCAAAGCCGAAGCTCCAAGCCGCCAACGCCGACCGATGCCTCGACAGGACCTGGTCCACAAGCAGGCCGAGATCGCAGCGCTGGAGCAGGCAGCGCCGGTTGGCAGTTTCTGAGCCGAACTCCAAAAACTCAAAGCAGCGTATGGAAGCGGATGGCTTCGCTAGCAGCATAGCTGACATAAAGCCAACTCAAGAGGCACTCATGGAGATGCAGAAGAGCTTCGCAGAGCGGCTGTCAGAAGCGCAGAAGGTGCGAGTCATCTGTTGTCCAAGCAATAACGCGTGCTCGGTGGCTAAAGCTCCCTCCAAAAACCTGAAGAGCCGTCCAAAGGCCCAAAGTCTCGAGCTGGCTGATGAGCTTATCTCGCAACCGCGTAACTGCAAACGCTTGCGCGCGGGCAGCCGGGCCAATTTGTGCGTGTGTGCTTGTTGCCAGGTGACGCTTGGGTAGGCCAAGAAGTCAAGCAGGCAGAAAGGAGGGTTTTCCCACCAACAGCCATTGGCCGCAGGCCTCACGGAAGCGAACAGTGCAGCTGCGCAAATGGTGTCAGGGAGGTTGCGCAGAAGGGGTTTTGACATAGGGTTCCACACCCAAGCAGGACTGGCAGGAAAAGGGGGTTCGAGGCGCCTCAGAGCACTGGTCTGCGACGCCCGCGTTCATTCTACCTTGATTTGATTCTTGTAGTGCGCGTTGCTTGAGGGTTATTTGGCGAGGGCGCGCGTGTGGTCCACAAAAAGCCAGAGTTTCTGGATCGGAACCGCCAAGCTTCAGGGAGGGAGAGTATGGGTTTGGGGTCTGTGTGCGGCTGCTGCTGTGACATTCCACGCAGAAGCCCAGTGCATCCCAGTGCGTTCCAGTGCATCCCAGTGTATCCCAGTGCCCCCTGTAAACTTGAGAGATGGCGGAGATATCGTGATCCTGCAAAAGGCATGCGAAAACACGCAGCACGACAGGCTGGCTCCAAGAAGGAGAAGTCTTTAGACACGAAGCTTCCACACATCGCCAACCTCAACGAGGTCAGGGCCTGGGCTGTTTTTGCATTCAGGAGTGGACTCGTTGACTAGTCTGTTTCGGTTCTGCTGCTTGCCTACTTGCCACGCAGTCTCTCTTCTTCCTTTTGGTTTGGTCTCAGGACCTGCTCCTCACGGCGAAGCTGAAGTTCGCCTTCAAGGCTCGGAAGTATCGGCCCATGCACCTTTCCGGTGGGTTTAGTAAGTTTAGTAGCTGAGGCCCTGTGCGCGGCTCATCGGAAGCGATTTGCCATCGAACCCTGAAGCTCCCAACCTTTGCGACAACTCGCATTGCAGCACTTGCATCCTCCCTTTCGGCATCACCCTGCCTTGCCAGGAGGGTGTGACCCGCGTGGGCCGGGGAAGCCAGGAGGACGGCGATGCCAATCAGCCGGCATCGCAGCTGTGGCATTGCGAGAGGGTTACTGTGAGAGGTTTTGTGATGGCTTTGGGTTTGGTAGGGCATAGGGCATAGAGGCTGTGAGACGTAGTCCCTGGTGGAGGGAGACCAGCTACTTGCTTGCTGCTGGAGTGTAGACTAGATGAGCCCCGCACTTCATTTTTCAGGGCCTCAGACGAGGTGACCTGTCTCCAATTTTTTGTTGGCACCCGGCTGCTCTTAGCTTGCCTAAGTGTTGCCAAGTCTCTCCCTTGGGGGCTGCGCGGGCTGCACAAGGCCGGAAGTGGCGCTGCAAGTGCCTGGCATCCACCAGGCCTTCGGCGCATTTCGAGTTCCCACGCGTTCCTTCAGCATCCTCGCATTTTTATTGAGCACTTTTCCGGGCTGATCTTCCTGATACCACACCAGTGGCCTGGGCGGAGGAGCATGCGGTCGTCGAGAACACCGGCGGTGCAGTCACCTTGAAGGCCACGGATCCCGAGGCACGTAGGGTTTCAACATGTTTCAACGACTTGCAGTGTTGTCTTGTTACGCAGAGCAGAGCATCACGTTGCACAATGTCCCCCATAAGCGTGTAGCCTGGATCCTACAGGCTCCCTAAAGCTGTTCCAAGTTCGTCGCATCCCGAGCCTCTGCAAATCTAAGCAAAGCTTCAGGCTGCCGCTACCAGCTTCGTGAACGGTACGGCGCTCCAGCCCGGTGTGGCAGGTCACAGCCTGAGCAGGCACAAGGCAATCGGAAGAGATCGGAAATGTAGCGGTGCAGCGTGCAGCGCAGAGTGTCTTATCATGTCTGCAGACGGATGCGCAGATGTATGTGGCAATTGCACACAACTCCCCGGCCCTAAACACCCTCTCGCCCAGTTTCTTTGTCGCATGGCGACCGCGTGGCCTTTGGACAGCTCCAAACCCAGAGCAGGAAAAGGTTGCCGGCATCGGCTCCACTACTGAGATGGGGCACGCCTTTGTGCAGCCAATGCTGTCAACCTCAAACTTGCTTGCAACTGTAAACCTTTGCAATCTGCAGCTGTGCCCCATAACGCTCTCTTCACCTGGCACTCCAAGGTGCATATTCGTTTTCGTCGAGCCGAGCAAGGCACTGCGCGGCTGCGTCACAGCTGCGACTACCTTGATGATTAGGGTGCGGCTGCATGACATAATTAAGCTAAGGATGCATCCTACACCCCGGCGCAAGTCACTTGTTTTGTCTTGGCGTCGCCTTTATTCAGAAGACTTCAATGCGGCCCTCAGTCACGTACCCTGACATAGAAATGGAATAGTTCGGAATCGCAGTTCTGCACGTGTTTTTGTAAGTTATACACCCCGCAGCCAGGGCAAGGTGACGGAGCTCATCAACTCGGGCCAGGTGAGCTACGCCGCTGCACGAAAGGAGCGTTGCGGGTACTGACAGCTTGGGCAAAAGGCCTTTTGATTTGTTTTTGTGACAAGAGGGGGGGGGAGCCAAAATTATGGGTTCTGGGAAGGAGCTGCAGCAGGGAGAGGTCACAGGGCCCACAGAAGAGGAGCTCAAGGCCAGGGTTGTTTGCCTCGAGCCTAGGGCCGGGCATTCGTATTTGAAGGACTCCTCCTTGCAGTTAATGCTTTGTGCTTTGCGCTGTCACACGACGAAGTCATACGAAGTCGTTCCGCTTCTCTTCGTCTGCGAGGCTTCTCGGCAGCTCGCAGAGGAGCTGGAGCGCAAAGCCCGGGAGGCAGAGGAGGCGAAGGAGAAAGCCAAGGAGCGACAGTTCCCAACTCATGTTTGCAGCGGCCGGTTCGGGATTGCAAAAACTGTTTGACAATGGTTGAGTTGATGGAATGGCTCAGGATATTTTGAGTCGCGAGTGGAGGTGTGACAGTGGTATGGAGGGTTTCTGGAAAGTCGCCTTGTCGAGGCAGAGGCAGATGCTCTGATGAAGCAAAGGGAAGCTGAGCCAGAGCCCAAGGGACTGCGAGCTTCGCAGATGGTGTCAAGCGGAGTGTACCCCGTGAAGGTCCACTTTTCCTTGTGTCGTGCATCAAACGGCTTCCGATGCCTTCCATCAAAAGGCTTCAAATGCCTTCCACACATAATATATATATATATATATATACAATGTATGTATATCTGTTATATATATACATATATATATATACATAGATCCAAATATAGCAAAATATGTATATAAACATATCTATAGATATGTACATACATATATACCCATATATATATATATATGTGTATGTATGTGTTTTTATGTAATTTATGTGCTTCCCCCCCATTGACCCACCGCTTCGTGAACGGCCCTAGCTTAGAAAATCTGAAAGTACTCTGTTGTTACGCACGAAATCATTGTTTGCATGTCGCGCTTATGTTGGGGCGGACACAAATATGCATTACTAGGGGGCTCGCTATCTGAAGAAAAATCATGGCTCACAAAGTGATTGGTAATTTGCTTCAACTTAATTGTTGTAATCAAGTAAACGAATAGAGCTTTTTAGCCGGAACACTTTTGATTATTATGTTGGTTCCCCTCCCGGAGTTTATACTGCGAACCCCTTCACGAATTCGATTTTAGTGCTGTTTATTTAGATTGTTAAAGTGCTCATGCTATGAACCGGCCGTGTTGTTCGAGACCACACACACTAACACAAGTTAAATAACCCAAAGGCCTGTTGAACGCGTAATTCAACGTGGGGGAAATGAATACTAAACTGCAGAGTGTGCTTCCTTCCACAAGTTCTCGGTTCACGTACGAATGGCGAGTATGTTTTGGCTTCTAAACCATTGCTACGTTTTTGCAATGACTCGAAGTAGCTCTGTTACAACGAAATAGCAGCCCCCGCTTACGTTTATTAAGTTAAACTAAACTGTCAGGATCCTTTGATAGTTTCACGATTGAAGCCATGTGTCTTAGCAATGATATCTTCTTTGCTCTGACAGCCAGAATTTCTAGAACAAAACTTTGATGTTACAAACTCCCCAAGTTCAAGCGGTAAATCACTTCGCTAACTTGGTGAACATGATTGGTGGTCAGATATATGGGTTAAATAGCGTATTCGACTATGTGCTTGCCTTAATTTGATGCAGATCATAATTCAACTTAACTCATCAGTGGCCTTTACACACAGAACATACGGGGCATAGGCAGATCTACGCGAAAATAGGGATGCTTCCTAGACATCTTTAGGATCCAAATCGTACGGGGCCATGTCCCTGGTCCCCAAACCCTCAGAGTTTTCAACATTCTGAAAGTTCACAACGGATCACCCTACCACCCAAACCGTAAACCGACTCAAGGGGCTCACGACGCCGACGTTTTTGGAAGCCTGGGACCGAAATTTTCGAAATCGAACCGTTTAGAAATTGTGAAATTTTTTTGAATCGAGGATTGAAGCTTGAAGATCCACAGCAAAGTTTTGCTGGAATCTTCATCAATTTGAAGACCGACAAATTTCCAAAGTGAATTTCAAGTTTCTGTGCTCCTCATCGAAGATTCCAGGCAACTTTTCTGTCGGATCTTCAATCTTCAATCTTCGATTTGACCACCGAACGTTGAGATTTGAGTTGTTTGGGGTAGAAAAAACAATCCAAAGCTCAACCCCGAAAACGCGCTCCAACTGGACTTGGGCCGCTTGCTGAGGTACGAAAAAACAAAGAAAAAACGGTGGATCAATTGGGGGGGCTACCATATATGTATATAAATATATATATTTTTGGTGCCCCCCCCCCCCCCCCCAAAGATCTACCGTTTCCCACCTTTTTTCAACAATGAAACAAAATCCATCTGCTTCATAGTGAATTTTCGCAATGCAATAAAATCCGTCTGCCTCACAATGACAATGCCCACGACGCCATTCAGAGCTCTCTTCAAAGATTTCGAAAGCCGGCCGTTTCAATTGAAACGTTTCCGTTTCAATTGAAACGGCCGGGATCCAAGATCCAAGATCCAAGATTTCCCAGGACTCTTGCCGAGGCATCTTGGAATCCCATATCTCGGATTCTGCCCGTTTCAATTGACATGTTTCCGTTTCAATTGAAACGGCCGGTTTTGGATTTAGGATTCCAAGATGTCCTGGCAAGAGTCCTGGGAAATCTTGGATCTTGGATCTTGAATCCCGGCAGTTTCAATTAAAACGGAAACGTTTCGATTGAACCGCCCGGTTTTCGAGATCTAGGGTTCCAAGATGCCTCAGCAAGAGTTCTGGGAAATCTTAGATCTTGGATCTTGGATCCCGGCCGTTTCAATTGAAACGGAAATGTTTCAATTGTTGAACTTCAAAACTCCGGGTTCCAGGATTCAAGATCCCGTGGAAACTTTTCCGGCAATCTTGAATCTTGAATCTTGGATCCCGGAGTTTTGAAGCTCAAAACTCTAGATTGAAGTTCAAAACTCACGGAACCCCATAGGGCTAAGGTTTGAAGGTTTAGGGCTTCAGGTTGAGGCATTAGAACCTGAGCCGGCAATTAAAACTCAACCCTTAACCTTTAAACCCTATAGGGTTAAGGTTTTAAGGTTTAGGGTTTACGATTTAGGCATTCAAACTTGAGCCGGTAGTTCAGCCTAAACTCTCGACCTTTAAACACAAACCCTATAGGGTTAAGGTTTCAAGGCTTAGGGCTCAAGATTTAGTCATTTAAAGCTAAGCCCATAGAGTTTAAACCTCAAGGGTTTAAGGTTTAGGTATGAACACATGAACCCTAAACCCTCTAGGGGTCGAAAAGGTTCAAGGGTGTTCAGCCCACAGGCGCTGAAGGTATAAATGCCCAGACCTTGGGTACATCAGGTTTAGGCATTGAAACCTTGAACCTATAAGGGTTTTTAAAGGTTTAAGGTCTGGGGATTGAAACCTAGGCTTGGGCATTCAAACTGGTTTAAGCCTTAATCCCTGTAGGGTTAGGTATTTACACCGAATAGCTTACCTTGAAACGCTATAGGTTCAAAGGTTGAGGTTCAATACCTTCAAGCCTCTGGGGTTTAAAGGTTTAGGTTTTTGCAGAGTTTGTCTACCCTATTCGGGGTAGCCCTATACGGTTTTAACCCTATAGGGGTTCAAGGTTCAGGGTTTAAGGTTTAGGGCAGTGCAACAACCCAACCCTAAACCCTCAGGGATTGAACCCCTTTACTGTTATCCTTAAGCCTTAAAGCATATAGGGTTTAGGGTTATAACGCTGAAGAACCCTCAGGGGTTTAACCCCTTTAGTGCTTTCCTTAAGGCTGAAAGCATATACGGTTTAGGGTTATAACGCTGAAGAACCCTCAGGGGTTTAACCCCTTTACTGTTTTCCTTAAGCCTTAAGGCATATAGGGTGTAGGGTTATCACGCTGAAGGTATAAATGCCCAGACCTTAGGTACATCAGGCTTAGGCATTAAAACCTTTAAGCCCTATAAGGTTGTAAAAGTTTAAGGTCAAGCCTTAAACCCTATAGAGCCCTATAGGGTTACGGCTTTTTCAGGGTTTATCAACCCTAAACGCTATGAGGGGTTAAAGGTTTAGGGTTTAAGGTTCAGGGCACTGCAAAAACATAACCCTAAACCCTCAGGGATTTAACCACTTTACTGTTTTCCTTAAGCCTTCAGGCATATAGAGTTTAGGGTTATAACGCTAAAATCTATAGGATTGGCACCTTATACCCCTATATATTGTAGGCCTTGAGGCCTAAATCCTAACCGTAAATCCCATAGAGTTCTGCGTATGTTTGTAGGCCTCGCCTCCTGTGAAAATGCAAAGGAAAAGTAGAATAAGTACCCACTGCATGTATGTATATAGGGTATATGTATTGCATATCAAATACAGATAATGGAGATCCTCGAAACATAAGACTAGGAAGTATTCGAGCGCAAAAGGTGATGCGGAAAATCATGTACTGTAAGCCCCGGGGACGCGAGAATACTGTGAGCAAAGCAAAGACCTTTTCACTATTTCCCTCTTAATTGCCGGTTCGGCGTCTTGGGTTGGTGCAGGATCGGTTAGCTATTGTTACGAGGGACTAGATCGGAAGGGATTCTGGATAGTAAAAGCATTAAAAAAGGGTAGATCTCTGGGGGGGGGTATTTATATGTGCTATATCGAATATTTCATGTATCCATTATATGAGTTCGGTAGATTTTTCTCTATGCTAGGCCCCTGTGCTGGAGGCTCAGGACATCGACCCAAGCCCAGAAGCTATTCTGCCTCAGACCCTCATGCGAAAGGCCCTCACGAGTATATCAAGTGTGTACATCGAATGGGTGAGGAGCATCTTATGATACCATAGAAGATACTGCTGCCCTACTCCATGGTACAAACTGCGGCCAGGTTCCGCGCACAGATGGAGACGAAGCAGAAGCAATGGGAGGAGGTGAGATGGTTTGCAGATTGGCTTTGGACCTTCTTTGGAGACAACTTAGATGTTGTCGACGTCCTCCCCAAGAACGGTGTGCCCCGCCCTTCAGCTTTGCGAAGATGTGGGGATGATTTCCGCTGACTTCATCGAAGCCGTAAGTCTTTAAGGTGTGCTCAAGATGTGGTGGACCGGTGTCGAGCACTGTTGTTCCTTTTGCCAGGAGATGCAGCAACGGCAGGCCGCCGAAGCCAGCGAGCAGGCCCAGGCAGCAGAGCAGGCGGGGGAGGGGGAGAAGGGGAGAGCGGGATGAGGGCTCTCTTTCAGTCGAACACCCGACTTGGGGGATCCAAGGGCTTTCGAGTACTCAGAGCATCGAAGCAGGAGTCTTCTGGCGTCTTTGGGCTCTTCTGCGGTCTGTATGGCCTTGACCCCGAACCCAGCATCAGTTTTTTTTGACCGCGACCTTTGCGAGGCTCGGGTTCATGCCGAGGAGCACGTGTTTGGCTTCAGAACACAGAGAGTCAAAAAGAGGTCTTTGTGCAGATAGCGAGTGAGAGTGAGAGCGAGAGCGAGAGCGAGAGCGAGAGCGAGCGAGAGAGAGCGAGAGTGAGCGGGAGAGCGAGAGAGCGGGAGAGCGGGAGAGCAGGAGGGAGCGAGAGACAGAGGCAGGGACACGCTAGATGATGCTGCCAGTTGTGCTAGGGAGTCAGTGTAGAGACTGATGGATAGAGACTGCTTCTGAATGGATTGGGCTCATGTTCAGACTAAGAGTCGCAAGCGAGCTGCAGGAACTTGCGCGTTTGCAGCATGAGTTCGAGGAGCGTGGGCCTCGGCTGAAGAACTGGGTCGTTGCCGCAACTTGCCGTGTAGGTGGATGGGACTTCTTTCCCCTAATTATGCAACGATGGAGCGCTATCCAAGGCGACAGAAGAAGGCAGAGGAGGCTGCTCAGCACAAGATTGAGGCCGGGCAAACACTGGCCAACCCCACTTGAGCTAGGCTTGGTGCCGAAGCCCTTTGAGTCCGAGCCGATCCCCCGCCCACCACAGGCCCTTCACAACCATGCCCAGCGCCCCGAAACGCCCCGCAGTTCTTTGCGGGGGGCAGCTCTGTTAATCCAGGAGCTGGAGAAGAAGGCCAAGAAGGCTGCAGCCGAGGAGGAGGGCCGCACTCTCGGATTGGGTTCTTTTTGAGCTTTTGGACATGTTCAGGCTTTTCTATTTCCTACAACTCGCAATGGCCCTCGCAGCGCGAAGAAGTTTTTAAAGAAGGTTGATCGGCGTTGCAAGCAGGGCTTATGTGGGGAGCATCTGGACTCAAGGACTGAGGACTGTCTCGCCGACCAAAACTTTAGCCGCGCAGTAGTCAAACTTCAGACCTTCGCAGGCATTCGCCAAAGGGGTAAATTAGGTAAACTGTCCATAGGCCATGGGCGCTCAACAGGAGCTATATTGGTGTGAAGCTGCCCAGTTGTCCCCGCCTTTGAGGCCACCGCCAGCACGAACTGGCCATGCAGCGATTGGAGGCCAACACCCACAGAATCCTACACCAAGCTGCAAACGTGGATAAGCAATGGTATGCACTCAGCCCAGGAGCAGCTCATGACGGTGATGCCTTTAGTGAAGGAGGCACCTTGCAGCATGAACTAGCTCATTTGGGCCATACGATCGACAGGGTCGGGCATGACATCAGGTTCTCAGGTTCTGCACGGTTGGTGTTACGCAAGGCACGGGGCTACATCAGGTTGGCTTGGGCTTGGCTTGAGGGCTTGGTTGCGGGGCATGCTACGTCCCCACCACTATCTCCCTTTCTTTCTGTGCTTCAATAACATATTGTGCCAGCATAGGCCCCAAACAGTGTAAAAACACTTCAAGAAGACTGCGAGAGTCCAAGACCGTTCCGAGACGAGCACTCCGTTCCAAAAAGCAACGACAATTCGCTGCACTTCGCCATGCAAGAGGGAGCGGTGCTGCGGAATGCGCGCAAGACCTATAGGCGAGAGAGGCGTTTTGACGTCGACCGCCACAGCCCTCGCTTTGAAAATGACCCCTCCCCCCCCCAATTCCCATGGTCAAGCGTGCGCCAGCGGGAGCTATTTTTGGACCAGAAAAACGAGTGCTGTGCCTAGGCGAGAGCCGCACGCGTACCCACCGCAGTGCCGCCTCCCAAATTGTAGGACAGCAGGCGGATAGCAAGACCCTCAGATCGCCAGGCAAATCTCATCATCCAGGAGCTGCAGCGGTGGCCTGCCTCGGTCTACTAGGAATTATCCTTGTTAAATGATTATTTTCGCAGAGTTGCCTCTCTTGAAGTCTCCACCAAGCTAAGGCCACACCGCCTCGAGACAAAGATGCACTGCGAGCTCTCCGCGGAAGGGAAGAGCGGGTGCGGGTCTTGGCATGGCATGACATTTCCCCGGCGGCGGCCCAGGGCCTTTCCACCAGCATTGACCTGCAGAGCGGCGGATGCGGCGGTCACCGTAAACAACATGTTCACAACACGTTCAAGACACTGCAATGGGCTAGGTGAAGCGGCCTCCAAACGCCTTAATTGTCTTTCAATTGTCTTTCCCAGGGCGGTGAACGTCACAGCGGCGGTGATGCTGAACGGTTGCCACCTCAGCACAAGATCATGCAGATCCCAAGTCCTGGGTCCAGCACCCCATTTACATCCTAACCGTCTTAACCCCAACACCCCAGACCTGGATTTGGAACTGGTGTAAAGCACTTCGGCATGTCGAGCCTGGAGAAGGACACGCTGGCTAACTTGGCAGATTGCCACGATGGCGGCAGTACAATCCTGTTCCTGGCCAGAGCCTTCCAAGGTGTGCGCCTTTTTGAGTGGAACCCTGAGACCCTCGAGAACAGAGGCAAGCTGTCGAATGTCACGGCTGTCCACCACTCGTCAGCTTGTGCATTCTCAACTGATTGAAGCCTTGACCATTATGCGAGTCTGACGGAGTATCAAGCTCCATGCACATAGTAGCAAACAGCGGAACTTCGCCTGGCACCTATCGCAACAGAGCGCCCCAAAAGACCCGCCACCCTCTGCAGTCTTCATCTTGCGGGAGCTGCTCCAGCGTGCAGAGGACGAAGGTGTCGAGGTGGGAGCCATGCTTTCCATAGAGATTGTCACCACGAGCTTCGGTGTAAGAAGAAGGTCTGGTTCAGGGGAATCACAGCATTTTGGACCCCATAGTGCCTCTCGCGACCGTCTCAAACGTGCTAAGAGCCATCCTGAATTCCCCCCGTGCTCTGGCAATAAGACGCCCTCGTGCAGGCTGTGCAGGACTTGCCCAATGAGGAAGACCCTCTTTGGGACCCGATAGAGGTCGGGAAGATTCAGACATCTTGGAGGCTTTTCTTGGGGCTCACGAGGCTCTCTGCGAGGCTCTTGGCAAGGCTCTTTGAAGCTCTTTGCGAGGCTCTTTCTCTGAGACTCTTTTTGCGATGCCTGCGCTGTGTTGATTGAGCAGGTCGAGCGACTCATCGGAGTGGCCCAGGTCCTGCTGGAAGGGGTCGGACACCCGGGATGGGGCACAAATGGTGTGGGAACTGTGTGGGAACTGTGTGGGATTCACTAAGTTCATAAAATGTGGGATATATCATCGGGTATCATCGGAGAGCTCAGAGAGCAGAATGATCGTGCTTCTACGTTCCACAACCTCGGTTCAGCCGTGTCTTCCGACATTCGCTCGGCTTCCTGCAGCCCAAGTTGTCACACAACCCATCACAGCCTGTTGAGACCCCTGATCCCCCCCGCCCCGTAGTCATGCGCATGCACGGCGCGGCTGCTCAGAGGTCCTTCTTCAAGTCGAGAACAAGGTGGACGCAAGGACCATAGACGTGCGACATGTGAGGATAGGCGAACCGAGCAAGACCAGACGCAAGCTGAGACGCCGACAAGTCCATGCCGGAGTTGATTGCAAGATATACCAAATGACAATGACGAAGGCCATCGAAGGCCACAGCGCCAACCGTACCAAAAAGGTACCACACTCTTCACTCTACTCTATCAGACCGTAGCTGCCAGTAGTTGGCATAGCTCCAAATTTCGCAAGGATCCTGAGCAGCGAGGGCCAAGCTGCCCCAGACCAAGATGGAGAGAACGCAACTGAAAGCCGTCTCGAGAAGACTTTGGTGTGACTGCGGGGCGTGCTCACGTTGGTGATGAGTGGCGCTTGAAGCGACAGAGTTGAGTGGAGGGTGGCGGACTTTGGTCGGCGTTGCAGGTTGGGGCTTTTAGGGTTTCGAGGGTTTGGAGGGCTTGAGGCATTTGAAAGATATTTGAAGCCTTGGGACTTGATCAGAAACAGGCTTGAGTTGAGATCTCCCTCCTCCCTGCTATTTCACATTTCCTGCACATGGCGATGTTGGACTCTGGACGGCCTGCCGAGGTCGGTACCCTCAAGGTTGAGATTATCCCAATCGCCAAGGCCAGCAGCGCTTCGTGCTGGAAGAAAGGGGCCTTCAACGGGCCTCCAACTCCTGGGACGTGTAACAGGGGTTGCTGGAGAGCCAAGCTCGTCGTAAGGCATGCACTGTCATGCACTAAACCGCCACGCTTGTCTTTGACCCTTTGAGCAACGAACCGTCGACTTGATTCCGAATTTTCAGCACACATACAACACTCCTGATACGTCAATCGGTCCAAAGAAGTGCATCTTGAACTCTTCAGCAACCTCTCCCGCAGCACGCGAGCACTCTGCGCCTAGCCCTGAGTGCACTGACCGGCGGCCCATTCGCTCAGGATGGTTCCATGGGCATCCCCGATGAAGAGGTTGTTGAAGATCCGGAGGTCCGAGAGAACGATGAAGGGTGGTTCTGAGATGCTCCCAGGTTCAGGGCTCGCAGGCGGTTCGGGGCCTCACTTGACAAGGAAGGCGCACGGTTTGGTGGCGCAGCCTCGCAGATCAAGGGGAGGCTTTCCACATGTCGGGGCCACAATGTTCCCTTCGTTCCCTTCGTGTGCCGGGTCAAGTCCGCTGACAAGGCACGCCGAGAGCCTGAGAGGATGCCAAGAAGGGGGCACCTGTGAATCCTATGAAGGCATTCATCAAGAGCAGCTGGGCTGTGTTGTTGCATAGCCTTCTTGGGAGGGGGATATTTGGGAGCGTAGCCGATCTCGGGATTCAAAAGACGACTCAGAAGACAACTCAAAACAACTCAAGTCACCAGAGCCCAGGTTTGGCATGCACGTGGTTCCTGTTGAGGTCCTACTGAGCATGACGGAACTCCAGACACATGAAGTTTTGCTGGCCGCTGGCTCCCTTGTGGATTTCGATCAGAGCATGGGGCACGCCATGTTTGTGTCACACCAATGGGTGGACTCTCATCATCCAGACCCTGACCTGGCACAGTTCAGGATTTTCCAGGATGCATTGCGGAACGCATTGTCAGGAGCGGCCACCATTTCGAGCATCATCAGCATAGAGCTCATCACTGGGACACAGACTTCAATTTCAGCTCAGGAGCTCTCATGCAGGCCAGTTTTCATTTGGTACGACTACTTCTCTTGTCCGCAGTCCACCTACGGTGCGGAGAATCGCCGGCGGGCCATCAACAGCATCCCCGAGTACGTGGGCAGATGCAAGTACTTTGTGATTCTCTGCCCTCGTGTGCGCAACACAGGCAACCCGGCAGTGGACCAATTCTTTCTGAGCAGGCAAACTTGGGAAGGACGAGGCGTGCGACTTCACGTTTGCATAGAAGCCTTTTAACACTTTCAGGACCCACCCCATGGCCCAAGGGGTGATTCTGTAGGCCCGTAAGCGCTATGCGGCGACCACCTCGGCCCGGAGCGACGATTCGGAATCTCGAAAGCTTAATGGAAGGTCGGAATCGGTAGCTTGGAGGCTCTTGGGTTCTTCGGGTTGAGCAGGGTGTACATGGACGACTGAGATTTTTGCTACCACGACGACAACCTCTCGGGCACCCCCAGACCCGCAATATCCCGCAATTCCCTCAGACACCCAGACCCCCCCGGCTGTCTCTTGAAAGGGGGGTTGGGGTGTGTGTGTATAGCCCGACTTGGAGGAGGGGTGTGCGATGGGCCACGGTCTCTGCGGGGGTTCCCGGGCTCTGGGAGTGAGATCCAGGGGCTGAGGCGATTCTCAGAACTGTCACTGTCAAGCGCCAACAGCCCTGCAGCAGCGGGCTCCGGTTGCAGGATGGTGTCGCTTGGAACGTCTCGCCCGCGAGCTGAGCACACATTCCGACACCTACTCGATTGAAATCCAAGACCCCGCGCGCCTGGCCCTGGCCCCGAACTTTGATTGGATTCAGGCTCCGGTGGGCGAAGGTCGCTTTTCTTTCGCGTCCGACCGCCAGCAGGTCGCACGTGTCCTGAGAAGCATGATGCGGAGGAAGCTGAACTTCTATTTGACACAGGGTGATCTGCACAACTATCGCTTGCTTCTGAACTTGCAGCGTGCCCAATACAGGGGCCTCCCCGTCAACCCGATCGATGACCTGGTTCCGGGATTTTCCTCAGACTTGTGCGACCCAGGTGCTTTCACTGTGGCAAACTTCTTGTTCCAGAATGGATTCTAGACTCACCACTAGACTCACCGGCGACATCTTTTTTTCCCTGATTCTGCGGTGCATTGTAACATATTGTAACGTCACGCAGTCACGCAAGTCCTTGTTATACCGTGCCCTCCGAGGATTCAGGAGCGTGGATGAGCGGAGTCCCGAGGGATGGACGCCAATCTGCTTTGCGGTTCTGGATGGCAACCCCTTGCTCGTCGCCTCGCTCCTCGAGCAGCGAGCAGATGTTGATGAAAGAATATCCCAGACGGAGCAGCTGTGCCATTTTCCCCCACAAATGCCGATTTTGCACATTTGCTCATTTCTTCGAAACACTGAAACAGCCAAAGTTCTAATAAGCCATAGGGCTGATGTCGCTGCAACAGATGGCTACGGGTCGGGTGCTCACCACTGGGCTGCGATATCGGACAACGTTGAAGGCATGGAGATCTTGTTCGCTGCGGGCTCCAATGCAGCTGCAGTGAACTTCTTTGGCGCCTCTTCTTGTGTACAGGCCGCTTGCGCCGGGGCGCTGGAGTCCACAAGGATGCTGCTGCCAAAAGCTTCGAGGCAGCAGGTACAGTATGCCCTACACCTGGTGATGCTGCATCGAGGCGGCTCTGCTGAGATGGTGTCACGACTAATCGAAGCAGAAGCTGCTGCTTGCTTGTTTGAGAAGACTTGTTCCTCGTGTTTCTGTGCCCTGTCTCAGGTTAGATGGGCATATGTGCCATTATGTGCCCCTAGAAAAAACATCTTGAAGTAGAGGTTTTTCGTCTGCAAAGGATGTGAACGATCAGCTCGCGACTCCAGTCTTCAGCGTGCTGGGTGTGGTTCTCCGCGGCCTCAGCTTGCGGCATTCCTGGAGGCCTTCGGCCCTGAGCCGCTATGCTTACCACCACTTCGGCGCCACGCCGCTCATGTCCAGCGTGCTGACCAGCTCCTTCGAGGCGCCGGGGGCTCTCTTCCTTCAAAAAAAAAAAGAGTCGAGAGATGTAGAGAGGATCGTTGCTACAATGATCTCACCCGAGTTGGGGATGCCAGGAGATGACCCCAATGGGGACTCAACCCGGTCCAAACATGCCCTTTTGTCTGGGAAACATCTGTGGCAATGTGGCAACTCTTTTTTGGGAAGAGTCTAGAGCCTTGAGAGGTCACTGCTGTGTTATTGGCGGCGGGCGCGAGCACAAAGGTGAAGAATGCTCGAGGCCGAACGGCTGCTGAGCTGGCCTTGGAAGCCTCGGCTCCAGATCGCGTGGTTGCTGCGCTGCGGTCCGATGGCGACTCGCTCGACCGGTTTATCAGTGACTTTGCAAGCATTGCGCACAACCTAGGTTTCATCTCAGAGAAGCTCTGACCCTGCTGCGGCGTTTCACGGCTTTAGCCGCCAAGTTTATAGGAAAAGCTTTTGCAGTTGGACGCTCTCCAGAGACCCCGAGCACCTCCCTTGATTAGCCTTGATTTTTGGATGGTCCTTGTACTGGGCAGGAGCTGCTGGGGGCTTGCATGAAGTTCCTTGTGGCCGTGCCGGGTGCTGCTGGGCTTCCAGAGGCGGGGCCACGCAGATTTCCGAGTTCGTTTGAGTTTTCCAACCTCATGAGGCAATCGAGTATCCAAAAGGAATTCCGGGCGAGCGACATTGATGGGTTTAGGGCTAGATGGACCTGGAACGCCTGTACCTCACCGTGCTGAACATCACAAGTGCTTTGCAGTATACCCCCCCTCCCCATCTCCGCAAAGGCGTTGGCGAACGACGTGCGTGCGGAGTATACCTACTTCATCGATGAGAAGATGCTCGGATGCAGCTTCGCGTAGTTCGAATTGGTGAAACCCAAAGTGCAACGAACGCTGCGTGCGAACAGATTCATCTCCTTCCCTCGAACTGTAGACTCCGAGCTCACGAGAGAAGCGATGCTCCTGCGAGGCCACACCAGCTGCCAACCGTGTCTACAGCTCAGAAGACGAGTTGCGGGTTTGGAGTGTTTTGCGGTTTGGAAGCTGTAAGGCTGCAGGTCACGACAGTCACGATGTATCCCGGGCTTCTGGAAGTCCAGGGCATGCGACCAGCTCTCGATTTGCAGGTTGCCTTTCGCTCCTTGACGCTCCTTCATACCCTTTCCATCTCGTTCCCTACTTCTTCAGAAAGGGGATGGGAGCTCCGTTGAGGTGCCCACTTACCCAAACATTTGTTTTCTATGGATCTTCCTCTTTCGTGCCCGGGGCATGTTCTGCACAAGGTCTAGGAAAACCCTTTTCTCGAGGTGGACTCGAGAAACGTCGGGAAGCCACCAGAAAGCCATACTTTGCTTGTCCCTCACAAAGAACACAGCTGCTCGACACTTCAGTGCCGCTTGAGTGCGAAGGTTTGGCCACAACTGCAACCCGGAGTTCAACTACAACCACACCTTCACCCAAGACCGGGAAGTGAGAATGCAGCGGATGTCAGGGCAGCTTCGACTGCTTTTTCTAGTTTCAATGTGGTGTGAGGGATCAGCTGCGGTCGAGTCGTCGAGGGTTATGTCCGATGGTGCAGGATCCTGTGACGTCCCGGTTCTTGGAGTACTTGCAGTCCAAGCTTGTGTTCCGTGTGCCGGCCCCCCAGTGGCCCTCAGGTGACTTAAAACGGACCCAAACCCCCAACCCTCAACCCTAAAACCCCTTAAGCACCCTAAACTCAAGAAAGCCCTAAGCAAAACCCCAAGCCCCCATGGTGGCAGATGGTGGCAGAGCCTGGACTGAGGTTTGGCCGGGACTCGGCTGCTGCGGCTGCTGCCGAGGAGCTGGCTCGCTGGGGGCTCCAGCGGCTCCAGGTTGTGGCTCTTACAGCCGCAGAGGTTTTTGTTGGGCCTTCGGGTTTGCAAGTCTGGGCTTTGGGGTTCAGGCTTTTTGTGGGACGCCTTGGGGGGGGGGGGTTTGCTCGGCACCCATGATCATACGGGCTCATGTTGAGGGTGCCCCAAGAATTGACCATGATCCAGCGAACGCAACACATGATGCCTTTTGGATGCTTTCGGGTGGCGAGGCCACAAGCCCAAGATCTCAGTGGTTTGCATGCGGTATGGCATTGCTGGTCCAAAAGCATCAAGAAGGACCGTCTTCGAGTTCGAAAGGATCAGGTCGGAAAGGAGTGCAAGGCAGAACACGTCCCTTGCTGAGGTGCCAAAGAGAAGCCGCCTGAGCCTCCTGCTCCAGTGGGGCGCCCTGCGTGAGTTCGGCATGCCCTGCAAGCGCTTCGCGCTGCCTTCGTCACGTTGGTATTCAGGGATTTTGGCACAAATTAGCTAGAGGCCATCGTGTTCGTGTTCATGCTCGGATGGTTTATAGATCTCCCAGGCTGACGCTTTGCCTTAGAGAGCTTGGAACACCGGGCATCTTTGCAACACCGAGGGCTCTAAGCCCTGAAAAACTAGCATTGGTAGTTTTTTTTCGTACGCGCCGGCATAATGGCTCGCCACGCTCAGGTAAGTCCAGTCGCAGACCCCTCGCCACAGGCGTGTTGCTGAGTGCCACTGCCTCCTCATCTTGTGTTTCGTAATTAGCTGAGCAGCCCTGGTAAATGCATGCACACAGACCTTAAAGTCTTCTTGTCATGCTCTTGCTGCCTTCACTGGCCTCATGATACCGATTCTGTTGGAAAGCTTCGCTCTGCCAGGAAACTCCCGCCCCAGCTGTGTCGGCTTGCCCAGTCTGGGAGCGACAGCAACGTTGATTGTCAGGGCTTCTTGTGTCAGGTTTGGCGGTTGAGCTCAAAAATGCAAGCTTTCGCAGGCGCATGCTGTCCCTCAACAGACAGCAAAGGCTGCAAGAAGTCTACATCCGAAGTTATTTTCTTAAGATTTACTGCATCGTGGTTTATTTGACAGACTTATCAAAGCATTCAGAGCAAGTCGGAATGTATTTAACATAAGAATAAGAATGCTTACCCGTGTAATAGCAACGCTTAAAACAATCAATGTCTTTGACTTGCTTACAACGATAACACTTCCTAGTAGCAACATTGCCTGTTTCAGCATACGGTTCAAAATCAACTAATATCTTATTTTCTTTTATTTTCATTGTATCAATAATATACACATTTTCATAATGCGAGATTGTGAAAAGGTGTTTGCATTCCCTAAGATTTCATGAAACTAATTACGAATTAATATCATTTCCACACTCTTATGGCATGCTTATGAATCTGTTCATCACATGGGAGCAATGGGACTGGGCAGGGGAACTATACACTGTCAACATAAACTAGATTTAAATATTAATCCATCACATGTAAATTATTCTTTAGACTAGTTTTTAGACTAGTTACATCTTTGTCTATCCTTTCAACATCCTCCTCCACTTTTTCTAGCCTCTCTTCTGGCCTAGGTTTTCTTGATCCCCACACGGTGGTCACCGTATCAACACCTTCGTTATCTTGTGAGTTCGTCTTAAATGTGTCGTTTTCATCAGGGGTTATCCCTCTCCCCATTTTCCAACTACTCCTATCTTCAATTATTGTTTTACCTTCGTTGTTCATCTTAGGTTCTTTGTGAAAAGTCTTTTTTCTACATTTGCAAGGAAAGCAGTTTAATCCATCTGTGTTCAAGTGGAAGCCGCCTTCGTTAGATTCCCTATGATTGTCGCTCATTATACTTTCTTAGATTTTTTTAAATACTCAAGAACTGCCTTAATCAACTCTAAAGAAGCGGTGCAACACCTTTTAAGCTTGGTGTCTTGTATTACAATCTTTTCAATTTCCTCAATATCATCTATCGTGACTACATACTTCTCCAGTATATTGAAGACATTTTTCTCTGATTAGTTAATGAGTGAGAATATACCTTCAATTGAGCCTATAGAACCAAAAACATATGAATATAAGCAATCTAAGCTTGATGTCGCGGATAAGTTGCCATTTAGATCAAATATTTGTGCTAGTAGTCAAGGTGGTGAAGGTATCTTACTACAGAACCTGATCTTGAAAATTTACAAGAACTGTTTTGAACGCATCTATATTTTCTCCCCGACTGCTTCAGTTGACAATGATTAGATTCCAGTAAAGCGTTGCATAACCGACCATCTCAAAGTTGACAATGATAAAGAAAGGTATCTATTTGATGATTATGATTCAACAGCGTTACAGAACATCATCGACAGCCAACATAAGGTAGCGGAATACCAGAAGAAGAACAAGATTAACAACCAATTTTCGGTGCTTATCGTAATTGACGATTTTGCAGAAGACCAACGGTTTATGAAATATTCTAAGATATTCCACGGCTTGTATACAAAATCTCGTCACAATGCAGTATCAGTTCTAACATCAGTTCCAAAATACAATGCCGTGGCTCCTATAGTTCGCTCCTATAATTCGCTTAAACTCTAGTTCATAATATATTTTCAAGTTAAGAAACATGCGCGAAGTAGATGCTTTTATTGAGGAGAATTCCGCACTGGTGGACAAACACCGTTTGTATGATATGCATCAGCAAGCGGTGAATTTTAAACCTTATTCATTCCTCTTTCTAAAGCCAAGATCACAAGACATTAACGAAATGTTTTATATAAACCTAGACCACGTATTTAAAGTTGATGAAGATGAAACGGCTTAAAGAAAAGGTATATTAGGACATATAGGGATATGAACAAATATCATAGCGGGAAAGTTTTCAAAATTGTGGATGCTGGATACAATAAATGTTATATTGGAAGCACGACCAACCCCATCTATTGTTTTTGAGCATTTTCGCCAACCATTGCCTCTTGCATCTTCTGCTGGCTGCGCTCAGCGCAGTTGAGAGCCCCTTCTTCGCGACTGTAGGGTTGCCTGAAGACGCGGCACACAATTCCTTCCCTCCCCCAATGTTAGGACGCAGGCTGGTGCCGCAGGGCTTGTTGAGTTCGTGTTGAGTTCGTGTTGAGTTCGTGTTGAGTTCGTGTTGAGTCGTTTGCAATGTTTGCAATGTTTGCAATTTTTTGCAATGTTTGCAATGTTTGCATCGTTTGCATCGTCTCCAAGGGCGGCTGATCCCGCGGCTCCCGCGCCCCCACCAGCGCTCCCGGGCGAAGTCTCTGCCGGGGAAGGCAGCGGCCTTTTTGGTTTGGTTTTCCTTTTGCTCGCGTGGTGTATAGGGTCCAAGCTCCCACCTGCCTGTCACCGCAGAGTACTTTAGTTACTAGGCGATGCTAAGGGCAACGCCTGTGTTGGAGCTGGAACATGGGTCAGGTCGAAGCTGCAATGTTTACATTAGGATGCTTTGCGCGACAGCAGTTGAACATCGAGGATCAAGAGAGGTTCGAGTGTCCCACACGCTAAAACGCCGTGCTATTTGCAACTAGCGCTTGGTACCTACTGGAGATCATGTTGTACTTCTTCGAAAT